TCCTGCGTCTCACTAGTCAAACGACTAAGCGCTGTTCTCGGGGCCTCACACGTTGACAACCAGTCTTGCCTTGGTGGATTCGTAGACCTCGTTGGTTCTTGCAGACTTTTCCGCATTTGCATGTAACTGTTGTTGCTGTTTTCATAGTCGATTGTGCGGGCCGCGTCGATTCCATAAAATCCGTCCAAGTGAGTCTATCATCCTCCCCCCCTCTCGGTAGACTCTGGGGTGTCTTTCATTGTTGGAGTCTGTAGCTTGCTTGTGGGTGTCCTCTCACGAAGACTGCAGTTTGGGTTGCTAACCCTAGTGCCCCTGTTCCAGTCTATTTCCTGGTGGTCATCTGTCTTTCCAGTGTCACCAATCTGTTCTCGGTTGTCATCTAGTCTTTCCTAGAAGTCACTGTATGTCCAGTTGTTAGATGAGTAAGATACAATCTGGAACGCACCTAATGTAGATCTTCTGTAGATCTCCTGTCTGTGGTGCTTCTAGATTGCTGATCGACCTCCATCATCAGCATGGTGCTCGCCGTCATTGATATTTCGGCCCTTATCCATGTATATCTGCTGGCGAGTGGGCCCACCGTCTTACGGTGTGGAGGTCGATTGCTTCCAGCTCTTCTCCTTTCGTCTCAGCCACAGCCAGCTAGACGCACGCTCGGCAGCTTGGCTCAGTCTCTGGATTGTCCTACGTCTATCCCTTCCAGTAGTTCCTATCGCTGTCATCAGTCGGCACACAGATTGCGAACAGAACCCTCGCACACCTACTTCAATAGGAAACAGCCATGTATGCCAGCCTCTCTGTCTACATTGGTTGAGTAGCTCCGTATACTTTGCTTTCTTCCTCTCGTAGGCCTCTTCACATCTTGTCTCCCAAGGTACTGTTAACTCGATCATGATGAGTTTCTTTCCTTTTTCAGACCACAGTATGATATCTGGTCTTAAGTTGGTCTGGACAATACTTGGGAAAACAAGCTTCTTGCCAAGATCCACCTCCATGTTCCAACCTGTTGCGCCATCTAGAACTGATGGTTGGTGTGGCGACTGTGTCTTGGCAGTTTCACCCGGTTTTACAAAGTTAATCTGACAAAGCTTGGGGTTACTCCTTCGTTCCTTTTTCCTTTCACCTTCAAGCCAGTCAGCCACCTCCCTAAGGACGTTGTCATGACGCCATCGGTACCTTCCTTGTGTTAGTGCAGTGGAACAGGAAGAAAGAACATGCTCCAGAGTGCCAGGACGATCGCACAGGTCACATGCTGGATCCGTTGTAAGTCCCCACCTGTGGAGATTAGCTGGGGAGGGTAAGAGGTCATGGACTGACCTGATAAGAAAGGATAACCGTAATGGTTCATACTTCCATATGTCTTCCCAAGTCAGCTTCCTGTCTATGGTGTTCCATGAAGTCCATGCTCCCTGTGCTCCCATCCCTACTGCTCTAGCCTGTCTTGCACTCTCCTCTGCCCCCCTGACTTCTGACTGAATCATGGCACGTCTCTCCTTCTGGTCTGCCTGGTTCCACAGGGGTGTCTTGGTAGCACCAATTCCCTGTCGTCCCACAGCGGTTATTCCCACAATGTCCTTGAGCTTAAGTGAGCTTTCAGCCTGGTTAACGGTCTCTGATGCTGACCACTTCCTGCCTGTACGGGTTACAATCCCTGCTTCCCGGATTTGCTCATCTGGGGAATCTCTGAGGGTGAGCACCAATCTTGTCTTCGCTGTCTTGAATTCCTCTACCAGTGAAGAAAATGGGAGTTGAAGCTGATTGCTCTTTCCATACAGTCCTACACCGGAGAAACTGGGTGGTATTCCTAACCACTTGCGGAGGTGTCTGCTTGTAATCCTCTCTAAGGCTTCAATTTTTGAGCTTGGTATCTCGTACAGCATCATAGGCCAGATTAGCCTTGGAAGTAAGGCATGCTGGTATAACCAGGCTTTGAACTTCCCAGGGAGATTGCTTTTGTCAATTTTCTTAAGCCCGTCTTCCACCTGGGTTTCTAGCTTCTTGACATTGTCACCATCTTGCAGGCTTGCATCAAACCACTTCCCTAGGCACTTGATTGGACTCTTAGTGATAGATGGGATATCCTCATTCTGTACTCTGAGAATGAACCTATCTGTGGTTTTTGCCATTCTTGATAATGAGAGATCTGGACTTTGCGGCCTTGAATTTCATTCTAGCCCATGAAGCGACATCTGTCAGGGCTGTTAACATCCATCTCGCCTGTACATGGGTGGTTGTGGTGAGAGTGAGGTCATCCATAAAACCTCGACTGGATGGCAAGTAAATCCCTGAATCTGTCTTTGGTCCACGAGTCTCTCTTAGAGCAGCGTTGATTAGAAGATTCATTCCCATAACGAAGAGTACCACGGAAACTGTACATCCGGTTACAATACCTTTCTCCAACTTCTGCCACTTTGTCAGCTGGTCACCAACAGAGAACCGGAGTTTGATGCCATCCAAGTAGCTGGTGATGATTTTCTGCACATGGTTTGGGACATGGTAGTGTTGGAGGGCTGTGTAGATCAGCTGGTGTGGGATGGAACCATATGCGTTAGCTAGATCAAGCCAAACTACTGTGAGGTTCTTCTTCCCTGCCTTTGCCTCTCTTATGAGCTGTGAAATAGCGCTTGTGTGCTCTACACAACCTGAGAACCCGGGCACTCCTCCCTTCTGGATGGAAGTGTTGATGTACTTGTTGGATGTGAGGTAAGATGTAAGTCTTCTTGCAAGGATAGCAAAGAAAATCTTCCCTTCAACATTGAGCAATGAGATGGTCCGGAACTGGTTGACATTCTTGGAGTTCCTTTCCTTGGGAGTAAATATTCCCTCTGCTTCCTTCCAGGCATCTGGTATTTCACCTTTCCTCCAAACCACCTTGAGAAGCCTCCATAACCTTTTCAGTAGAAGTGGGCACATCTTATACACTTTGTAAGGGATGGCGTTAGGTCCAGGAGCAGAACCAAATCTTGCTTTTTTGATGACCTCTTTTACTTCTCCCAGTGTTGGCTCTGTAGTTATGAGTTCAATCTCTGGAAGTGCTGCTGGGTCTATGCGTTCACAGTCACCTAATGCATTGTTTCTACTAGCATCGGAGTGGGTCTCATGAAGGTATGTTTCAACCTCTTCCAGCGGGGCTTCAAGAACACCCGATCGCTCTTTGTCAAGTAGAGTTCTTGCAAACTTGTAGGGGTTGGCTGTAAACGCCATTCTTTTCTTGGCTCTCTCCCGGGCCTTCCTCCTCGTATTTTCGGCTTTCCGCAGGGATTTCAGCTCTGCTCGTGCTGTGTCTCTCAGCTGGGATAACCCGAGTCGCTCTAATGATGAGCTCTTCTTGTATCTTTGCTTCAGCTGACGGAGTTCCCTCGAAGGTTCTCAATGCGTAACTGAGTCTGTTAGGTTTTGGGGCCTCCTTTCGTACCTTTGCTTCCTCCACTCCAAACCTTTCTTTTGCTACAGAGTAGACTAAGGAGAGAGGGTGTGTAGCTTCCGGTCCACTGGTCCTTGCATGGATGTCTCGAGAATAGTATCCAGGTCACCGTCTAGGAGTTTCCATATTTTCTTGTCTGATGCCTTGGGCCATATAATCCTTTGTTTCCTTTGACTAGTGGTAGGGTCTAGACGTGGTCTATCCAGAACAGCTACCTGCTCTGCTTCTTGGCTGCAATGTCCCGGAATCTTAAGTAGTTCTAGGAGAGGGTCTTCATCTTCTACCTCTGGGTCATGAGAGGCATCTTGTGTTGTCTCAAAAACGGAGAGTTCCTCAATACTGTGGGTTGAATCCGGATTGGGGTACTCCTGCATCTCACTAGTCAAACCGACTAAGCGCTGTTCTCGGGGCCTCGCACGTTGACAACCAGTCTTGCCTTGGTGGATTCGTAGACCTCGTTGGTTCTTGCAGACCTTTCCGCATTTGCATATAACTGTTGTTGCTGTTTTCATAGTCGATTGTGCGGGCCGCGTCGATTCCATAAAATCCGTCCAAGTGAGTCTATCATCCTCCCCCCCTCTCGGTAGACTCTGGGGGTGTCTTTCATTGTTGGAGTCTGTAGCTTGCTTGTGGGTGTCCTCTCACGAAGACTGCAGTTTGGGTTGCTAACCCTAGTGCCCCTGTTCCAGTCTATTCCTGGTGGTCATCTGTCTTTCCAGTGTCACCAATCTGTTCTCGGTTGTCATCTAGTCTTTCCTAGAAGTCACTGTATGTCCAGTTGTTAGATGAGTAAGATACAGTCTGGAACGCAACTTATGTAGATCTTCTGTCGATCTCCTGTCTGTGGTGCTTCTAGATTGCTGATCGACCTTCATCATCAGCATGGTGTTCGCCGTCATTGATATTTCGCCCTTATCCATGTATATCTGCTGGTGAGTTGGCCCACCGTCTTACGGTGTGGAGGTCGTTTGCTTCCAGCTCTTCTCCTTTTGTCTCAGCCACAGCTAGCTAGACGCACGCTCGGGATTGCCCTACGTCTATCCCTTCCAGTAGTTCCTATCGCTGTCATCAGTCGGCACACAGATTGCGAACAAAACCCTCGCACACCTACTTCAATAGGAAACAGCCATGTATGCCAGCCTCTCTGTCTACATTATTATAATTATTAAATAAATAATGACATTGTGTTAGAAAACATCATTTTTTTTTTACCTCAACACAAAATCAATGTATGTGCTTCGATATGATATTTTCCTGGTGAGGAGAAAGATATTCAAGGCATGGCCCTGTCAACAAGGGAGTTATAGGTTTGTGTCTTACAGAGGTCATAAACATGGTTTAAGACATATAAGTGGATATTTTTATGTGTCGTAAAAGTTAGAAAATTTTAAATTCCAGACATTTCGCATGAGGAAATGTTAGCGAATCATGCAATTGTAAAACTTAATGACAGGTTGATTGATATTTAAGCTAGTGATTTTTCGTCAAGTTGGGAAATTCGCCACTGTTTCCGTGTCACTCACTTAACAACTTTTACAGTATATATATATACATGTACGGTGTATTTTATTTTCAGAGATGATTTGTTGGTAACAAACCCAAAACGTGTACAAACTGGTATAGATAAGAAGGCTTGCAACTGTCTACTGTTGAAGGTCAACCAGATTGGCAGTGTAACAGAA